ATTATTTCATGCCTCTTCTTGGTTATGCGACACAAACAAGAGGAAAATTTTAATCTATCACAACTGTATCACCTTAGCACCTAAATAAACTATAGAGCTTTTGTAGCAAACACAGATTAGAAGGGGGGAGCCAATTTAGTGTGATTTTTGAGAGCCACAGATAACCCTCCTATCACAACACAGGTTTTCATTACCATTGTGATGGAATATTGAGGCATGCTTGCCCTCAATGTTTTCAGTTCCGCTAGCTAAATGCAATGGCAAATACTTGGCTCTGAAAATGGCCATCGAAGGGGTGCTCTTAGGATACATTAAGGTGTTGCAAATGTATATTGGGTGTGATCTACACCATAAGATGTCCTTAAACATCCCAGGAGAGGACCTGGGACACACGAGGGCAGTCCCTAAAATAAAGGATGTTGAAATAGGTTTTTTCATCACATTTGATAAACATTGACTGAATTTCTAGGTGACAGAAACATCTGCCCTAATCATAAGGCAGGATTAGACTTGGTCTCTGCTCCCTAGCATCTCACAATCTATTCAGAAGAGAGATATGTAACCATAGATCAATGTGACAAGTTACAATAGTAAATATAAAATTCTATGGAAATACTGACTGATCCTTCCCTTACTTCCTCATCCAGCTCCCTGAAGAAAGGACCAAAGGAAGTTGTAGAAGAGAGTGACATTTAGAGCCAGATCTGAAAGGATGGAGAGGAGTTTCACCAGGAAGAGAAGAGATGATGGAACAAAATGGACAGTAGCAAAGAGGCATGAAATTGCATGGACAGGCAGAGAATGATGAATGCTAGTCCAGGGTGACTGTAGGGTATTCAGGGAATCAGAGACAAGACTGTGAAGATAGTCCTGGGTTCAACTGTGATAAGTCTTGTATATCAGGCTAAAGAAGTTGATCATGATTTTGTAGGCAGTGGGGAAGCAGCAAAGAGCTGTAAACAGAAAAATGATATGTTTGAGTCTCTTTTTTATATCATATTGGTGCTCCGAGAGGTGAAATTTGGAGCAGTGATGGACCCAGAAAGAATGCGTACGAGACACAGATTTGAGAGTTAATGAGGTTCTTCTCTGGAGTAATGCATGGTGAGCATTAGAGTGGACATATGTCAGAGACACTTAGATGTCGGTAATATTTTTTACCCAACAGAAGAAAATTAATCCAGTATTCATTCATCAGTTATTAAGTACCTATTATTTACTTGGTTCCCGGTACTTTCAGGAGCACAGAAGTTGTAACACATTCCCCCTGCTTTGTAATGAACTTACAGTCTACTCTGGAGCAAACTATACGTGCATGAAAAGTAAAATAACACAAGATAGTGTATTATTAAGTATCAAAAGGTCATCATAGCAAATCAGTGCAATAGCAATTACTGGGGGCCACAGAAATCAGAAATTTGTGATGAGGAAAAAAAATTAAGAAGGGCTTCCCAGAAGAGATATCCCTTGAGCTGAGTTTTGGTGGACAAGGAGGAGAATAGCCAGATAAAATAGAGAAATAGCCACATCTGCAAAAGCACAGAGACATTAAGAACTTGATGCATTCAGGCAAACAGATGGGAACTGCAAATACCACACATGGTAGTGTAGGATGGAGTGTAGGATGAGTTTGTAGAAGGGACAGGGAATGAGGCTAAAAAAGAGGTAGACAGGGACCAGAAAGTACAGAACTTTATGTGCTAATATAAAGAATTCTCATTGTGAAAGTTATTGGAGGATTTTCAAGTTCAGGATGAAGAGTGTCACGATTGGGTTTGTATTTTTAGAAAGATCACACTACAAAGAGTATAGAATGACTTTGAAGGTTTCTGACTGGATGATGGTGTCATACATTAAGGGAACACCCAAAGAGCAGATTGGGGAGGAAAGATTTTTTTTTTTAAGATTTTATTTGTTTATTTGAGAGAGAATGAGATAGAGAGAGAGCATGAGAGGGGGGAGGGTCAGAGGGAGAAGCAGACTCCCCGCTGAGCAGGGAGCCCGATGTGGGACTCGATCCCAGGACTCCAGGATCATGACCCGAGCCGAAGGCAGTCGCTCAACCAACTGAGCCACCCAGGTGCCCTGGGGAGGAAAGATTTTAAGTCCAATTTTTTGACGTGTTGGGCTTGAAGTGTGTGTTGGTTTCCTAAGGGCTACTGTAACAAATTTGATGGCTTCAAACAACAGAAATTTATTTTCTCACAGTTCTGGAGGTTAGAATTCAGAAAATCAGCAGGGTTGGTTCCTTCTGGAAGCTCTTAGGGAGAATTTGATCTATGCCTCTCTCCTAGCTTCTGGTGACAAGTTGTAGCATTTCTTGCCTTGTAGAAATATTACTCCAACCTCTGCCTGTGCCTTCACATTGTCTTCTCTTCTGTGTGTGTCTTTGTCCTCTCCTCCTCTTTTAAGGACACCAGTCATGAGATTTAGAACCCAACCCAAATCCAGGGTGAGCTCTCTTGAGATATTTAACTTATTTATATCTGCAAAGACCCTATTTCCAAATAACATCACATTTGCAGGTACTAGTGATGGGGACTTGGATATATTTTTGTTGGGGGGGGACAATATTCAATGCATTTATAAAGTGAATGAAGGGATAACTGTCTTCATAATCTGACTAGTACTCTAGGCTTGGTTTGCACTTCCAAAGGCACAAGGAAATGCAGAATTAAAGATGTCATGCTGTAGAAAGAGCAAAAACTAGTCAGAAGGATCTAGGTTCAATCCAGACTCTATATTAGTTGAAAACTTGGTTAGCCTTTTAACCTTGATGAGCCTTGATTTCTTTATTTGTAAAATGGGAATAATATGACCTATTATAAAACTGGCAGGGAAGTTAAAGACTCATTCCCAGGTATATGGTAGACGCTATTATTTCAAAAAAAATAAGCTTGAAGATAATACATTTGGGAATGACCCACATTAAAGATGGGGTTATGTGAGTATACCGAGTGTTTAGACTATAGCAATTGACATCAAGAAGAACTGGGAGGTGTCCTGTCAGAGAGATGGAGATCAGCAATGAGGACTCCAAGAGAAGGTGACTTTTCAGATAGTCTAAGGGGCATTTGGCATCAAGAAAATCAATTATCAGGTATCTCACCACCTAAGTCAAAGAGAAGTTAGCAAAATGAAGGCAGGGCTTCTAGTCTTAAAAACTGGGGTATCAGGCAGATTTCTAAGATGTTTATGAAGTTTCTGTGCTATGCCAGGCATTCCAGGTAAAAGGACAAATAAGACATGGACCTTCCTGACAGAGCTCACCATCTTTCAGGTGACATCGGACAAGTAAACAAGATAAAATACAACGCAACATGATGTACTACAAAAGACAGAGCAGAGTTAAGGGACAGACCAGCTAAAAACTGCCTGTGGGAGCCTGGGAAGGCTTTAGAGAGAATGTGACATTTGGATGGATTCTAGGAGGATGAATAGAGTGTGCTTGCCAGAGAGAAAAAGAGAAGCTCTTTCCAAGCAAAGGAAAAAGAGGCAAAGCATAGGAAGTAAGGACCAGAATTAGAGACAGGAACTGAGGATCAGTCAAAAGCCCAGTTATCTGAGTTGACAAATGGAACCAGAGCCATTAACAGACTTACTGCTGACTCCCAACACTTTGGGCTACAATTTGCAGTTGTCCTGGTTAAGATGCAGGTTTGTCCTAGAGATCCTAGCAGCACTGAGCATAGAGATGTGAGTCAGTGGTTCTAGCATTTGGGAAAGAAGATTAAATATAGAGATTGATGACCAGTGAGCTACTGACATTAGCCAAAATCCAGAGAGAAGGGGAAAGTTTATGAGGGATTTCTTATGCAACAGATCATCTAATTTCAACTTCACAGCAATGTTCTGATGGAAAGCAGGCAGAGCCATGAAATAACAGCCCAGTCATCAAAAAAAGCAAAACTGACCTGGTTCCTAGAGAAAGAAAGCTTTTGCCAGCTGGTCTCTTTGCGGTTTCCTGCTGACTTAGGCAGCGCTGGGGCCCAAAGGTGCTTTCTAGAAGTGGTTTCAGCTACCTGAGGAACAGTTCTTACACCTCAGTTTCACTGCCCTGAAAACAAAAACCGAAAAACTACAAAGAGCGTTGGATTCTATTGACAACAAGGAACAAGGAATGTGTATTCAAGTTACTTGTACATTTGGGCGGCACATTCCCGGTGTGCAGTGAGTATCTGTTAGGTTGGGTTCCCCACGACGTATATCGACAACACTGTCTCCAATACTAAATGGAAAACCCACCCCCAATACCACAGAAGAAAGCATCAGACTTCACAGGCCCTCCAAAGTCAAGAAGCATCCCTAAAGCACTTTTACGTCCTCCTTGAGGCCTCTCAGTTTCCAAGATTTTAGCAGGCTAATTGGCAACGTGTTAACTTCCACGCACACTGTCACCACCCCTGTCCCTATGTGCTCTCCAAAACGCCCCTTGCCACCCTGGCCAGGGAGACCCCGGCCCATGATGCAAGGAGGACGTCACAGCTCGGGACCGCACCAGCCCTCCGTGATGGGAGCGGAGGGCGAAGGGAGAGGCGTCGTCCTCTTTTGAAGCGCCCTTTCGGGAGAATCCAGAGGCGGCCGGAGCTCGCGTGAACACCGGTGCGCGGGAAGGCGCGCCCCGAGGCCACAGCGCTGGATGCAGGGGCGGCGAACCCCCCGCCCCCGCGCACACGGAAC